TTGAGATTCTGTGTCTCCCTCTTTCTCTGACCCTCCCCCCTCCCGTTCATGCTCTCTCCCTGTCTCAAAAATAAATAAATGTTAAAAAAATTTTTTTAAATAAAAAAAAATCAAAGATTATAACAAGAGATGAAGAAGGCCCATATCATAATTAATAGTTCTATCACTCAAGAATATCTAACAATTGTAAATACTTAATGCCCCCAACTTGGAGGAACCCAAATATATAAATCAATTAATAACAAACATAAAGAAACTCACTGATAATAATACAATAATAGTAGGGTTCTTTAACACCCCCCTTACAGCCATGGACAGATCATCTAAGCAGAAAATCAACAAGAAAACAATGGCTTTGAATGGCACAATGAACCAATGGACTTAACAGATATATTTATATCATTTCATCTTAAAGTAGCAGAATACATATTCTTTTTGAGTTCACATGGAACATTCTCCAGAACAGACATGCACTGGGTCACAAATCAGCCCTCCACAAGTACGAAAAGATTGAGATCCTACCATGAATATTTTCCAACCACAACGTTATGAAACTTGAAGTCAAAAACAAGAAAAAATTTGGAAAGACAACATATACATGGAGGTTAAAGAACATCCTACTAAAGAATGAATGGGTTAGCCAGGAAATTAGAGAAGAAATTTAAAAAAATACATGGAGGGAAATGAAAATGAAAACACAACAATCCAAAACCTTTGGGATACAGCAAAGTCAGTCCTATGAGGAGAGTATATTGAGATACAAGCCTACATCAAGAAGCAAGAAAAGTCTCAAATAAACAACCTACTCTTACACCTAAAAGAGCTAGCAAAAAACCCAATAATGAAGCCTAAAGCCAGCAGAAGAAGGGAAATAATAAAGATTATGGTAGAAATAAATGATATAGAAACAAAAAAATCAGTAGAACAGATCAATGAAACTAAGAGCTGGTTCTTTGAAAAAATTAATAAAATTGATAACCCCCAGCCAGGCTTATCCATAAGAAAAGAGAGGGTGCCTGGGTGGCTTAGTCGGTTAAGCATCTGACTTCAGCTCAGGTCATTATCTCATGATTCCTGAGTTCAAGTCCTGCATCGGGTGAGCACCAGCCCCACTTCAGGTGAGCACCAGCCCCACTTCAGGTGAGCTCAAGCCCTGCTCTGGTGAGTCCCGTTTCTCTCTCTCTCTCACTCTCTGCCCCTTGCTCTCAAAAAGAGAGAGAGAGAGAGAGAGAGAGAGAGAGAGAGAGAGAGAGAGAGAAAGGACCCACATAAATAAAATCATTAATGAAAAGGAGATCACAATCAACACTACATAAACATAAACCATTAGAAGAGAATACCTTGAAAACTTATATGCCAACAAACGTGGCAATCTGGATGAAACTGACAAATTCCTAGAAAAATACAAACTACTAAAACTAAAACAGGGAGAAATAGAAAATTTGAACAGATTCATAACCAGGAAACAAAGAAATTCAATCTGTAATCAAAAATCTCCCAACAAACAAAAGTACAGGACCAGATAGATTCCCAGCAGAATTCTACCAGACATTTAAAGAAGAGTTAATACCTATTCTTCTCAAACTGTTCCAAAAAATAAAAATGAAAGGAACTTCCAATCTCAACCTATGAGGCCAGCATTACCTTGATTCCAAAAAGAGACAAAGATCCCACTAAAAAGAGACTTACAGGCCAATATCCCTGATGAACCTGGATGCAAAAATTCTCAACAGGATACTAACAAATTGAACCCAATGGTACACCGAAAGAATTATTCACCATGATCAAGTGGGATTTATTCCTGGGCTGCAGGGGTCATTTCATATTTGCATATCAATCAGTGTGATATACCACATTTATAAAAGAAAGGATAAAAACCACATGATCCCCTCAAAAGATGCAGAAAAAGCATGTGACAAAATACAGCATCTATTCTTGATAAAAACCCTCAACAAAATAGGGGTAGATGGAACATACCTCAATATCATAAAAGCCATATATGAAAGACCCACAGTTAGTATCATCCTCAATGGGGAAAAACTGAAGCTTTTCCTCTACAGTCAGAAACAAGACAGGAATGTCCACTCTCACCACTACGATTTAACATAGTATGGAAGTCTTAGCGTCAGCAGTCAGACAACAAAAAGAAATAAAGACATCCAAATTGGCAAGGAAAAAGTCAAACTTTTACCATTCACAGATGACATGATACTCTGTGTAGAAAACCGAAACACTCCACCAAAAAATTGCTAGAACTGATACATGAATTCAGCAAAGTTGTAGAACATAAAATCAATGTTCAGAAATCTGTTGTATTTCTGTACACCAATAATGAAGCAGCAGAAAAAGAAATCAAGGACTCAATCCCACTTATAATTGCACCAAAAACCATAAGATACCTGGAATAAACCTAATGAAAGAGGTAAAACATCTGGACTCTGAAAACCATAGAACACTTATAAAATAAATTGAAGAGGACCCAAAGAAAGGGGAAAACATTCCATGCCCATGGATTGGAAGAACAAACATTGTTAAAATGTCTATGCTACCCAAAGCTATCTATATAATTAATGCAATCCCAATCAAATTTGCACCAGCATTCTTCTCAAAGCTAGAACAAACAATCCTAAAATTTGTATGGAACCACCAAAAAACCCAAATAGCCAAACCAATTTTGAAAAAGAAAAGCAAAGCTAGAGGCATCAGAATTCTGGACCTCAAGTTATATTACAAAGATGTAGAAGATGGGCTAAATAGGTAATGGGTATAGGAAGGCACTTGTTATGATGAGCACTGGGTGCTATACGTAAGTGATGAATCCCTATATTCTCCTGAAATCAACATTATACTATATGGTTTTTTTTTAATTTTTTAATGCTTATTTATTTTTGAGAGGGAGAGAGAGAGAGAGAGAGAGAGCATAGGTGGGGTAGGGGCACAGAGAGAGAGGGAGACACAGAATCTGAAGCAGGCTCCAGGCTCTGAGCTATCAGCACAGAGCTGGACACAGGGCTCGAACTCACGAACTGCAAGATCATGACCTGAGCCCAAGTTGGACGCTTAACCTACTGAGCCACCCAGGCGCTCCTATACTATATGTTAACTAACTAGAATTTAAGTAAAAATTTGAGGAAAAATGGAGTTATTTATAAAAAATAAATAAAATAGTATCTCTTAAAAAACAAAATGGAAAAATACTAAACCTCTACCAAGAGCTAGCATTTTTGCTTGCTCATCTGGAGGACTCTCCCACTAGACAGGTGGTAAGAGTACTTAAAAAAAAAGTGAGTCTTGGGGCACCTGGGTTAATTGAGCATCTGACTTCGGCTCAGGTCATGGTCTCAAGGTTTGTGAGTTCGAGCCCCACAGAGTCTGCTTCTGATGCTCTGTCCCCTTCTCTCTCCCCTCCCGCACTTGCATTCTCTCTCCAAAAATAAATAAACATTAAAAAGTAAAAGTGGATCTGCTAAAGGGAAGATCTTGTTTGGTCCAGTGAGGGGAGAAAGGATCTAGCTTCCCTTCTCTGGACTCCATCCAAAGTTCCAATCCATCAACCACCATTAAGTACAATGCCTATTTTAGTAATAATTGTAGATTTCAAGTAATACTACATATAATCTTCAACAAAGAAAAAAGTTCCAAAGGAGACCAGTAGCTTCTTAATATAGGCACATGACTTTCCTGAGAAGTTAAACTGGAGAGTTTCCACCTGAAGGACAGAAATTGTTAAGAGGCAATGTGTAAACCTCATACACCATATCATGTACTCTGCAATAACATATTACATTCCTAAGAAATGCTCCTTTTTAGTGCACCTTTACTTTTCCAGTATCAAATCTTCTACCCTATCACCTCTCTTTAGCGCTTCCCTCTAACCTCAATTTCCTTATGTTCTCATTATTTGGTAAAATCACTTTACACTTAAAGAACTAAATATTTATGTAATAAAACTAGAAGATAAAATAAATTAAACTCAAGTTAATTTTCTCTGCAGAGTTGTATGGTAGTGAGGAAGGTGCTCTTATTTAATTCCTCTATGCCCTCCACACTCACATACATCTGCTTCTTGGTAAGTCTGGGGTTGGGGAAGTTGCACCTTACTCTTACTCTCGTATATGCCCTTTTGAGGCAATACAAGAACTCAAGGGAGAAAACGCTGGCAAAGTGGTCATACACCAAGCAGCCAATTACTCCTGAAATGAAGGAAAGTTCACTTGGTCTCTCCTAAACAGAAGAGAATGTCCAAGAGATAAAATGTTTTAAAAAACCACTGTAGATAACAACGAACCTAGCACTGGGTTCCTCTGAGTGCTCAAGAAGAGAAAGGAAATCAAGTAGCAGTATTCAGAAACAGTTCTGGGTTACAATCTGATGAGGTCTCTCTCTCACTCAGGGAGAGGTTGCTTTTTCATGTTGGTAGGGAGGCAGAAAGGAGGCATGGCTTAGACATTGGTGGTGGTCTCCTTAACGGGTTGGATGCTATTAATCTCCACAATGAGGCTTTTGTCAGCTCGACTGGCCTCCTTTACCTGCCCTTCAAAGGCTCATGTAATTTCCTCAAAAGTCCTGCCATAGGTATCAGGGACTTTGAAAAAGATGAAGACAAAGAAGATAACAAGGAAGCCAGTGAATACAATAAAAATGTAGGTTCCTAAATAGAATGCAGCTGAGGGGGAAGAGCAGCCCAACCAAAAAGTTGGAGATCCCATTGGAATAACCAGCCTCTGCCATTGCAGCTGGGTGGAGTACATGGATGAAGAGTTTTGACACAATAAACCAGGGAATGGAACCTGGGCCAATTTCAAAAAACGGCACAAAGACCAAGACAGACACAATACAGACAAAGCTCTGCCAATTATACTTGTCCTTTAATAACAAAGAAACAGTCATGAGGATGGAACAAAATACCATGTATCCAAGGCTAATCAGAAGTAGAGTCTTCCTCCCTGCTCTTTTGACCAGAAACAGAGAAACTGCAGTGAAGACAGTATTAACCATACCCGCACCAATGGTGGTATAGACTGGCTCCCCAACATCTGCATCTTTGAAGATTCCTATTGAGTAACAGAACATAGCATTGATTTGAGAGAGCTGCTGGGAGAGCTGGAGTATGGTGGAAATGACAATATGTTGTCAGTAACTGGACACTCTGAATAGCTCCAGCATAGTGACTTGCCTTTCTTGTGCCATCCTAGCACTTTCATCTTTCATCTCCTGGATGTCCTGACTGAGTCACGTCTTGGGTGCCCCACAATCACTAGATGTTCTCCTTAGCAGTCTTTTCTTCCTTTCTGTTAATGACCAAGAATCTAGGACTTTCAGGGCAAGGAGGAAGGGCTGTACTTTGTAGGACAGCTAGAATGATGGTGAAGCCCAACAACAGGGGCCAAAGCTCTTCAGTCTCCAAGATGACTTTCAGACAAAAAATCTGAGCCACCAGAATCCTGACAACAATTCCCAGCTAGTTAGGAATGCCAAAGCTCCCCCAACCCCGTAGGACAGTAGTAGATATCTCTCCAAGGTACATGGGCACAAACCTGTGCAGTGTCCACAGAAGAGGCCAATAATCTATTGGCCCAGGATCAGCATTTCAACAGACTCTGCTACTCTGGAGAACCCATAAGGCAGGCACCAGCAACAGCCAATAGGTTGACAATAGCATTGAATCGCGCCTGCCAAAGCAGTTGACAAAAGTCCAATAGAAAAGGAGGAAATCATACCATTAATGGAGAAGACTGCTACAGACAAGGACCAGAGGGAAGTGAGTACCACCTGAGTGGGAGAGTCTTCTAATCTCTTTTCCAAAGAGTAACTGAGAAAATTCTTAATAATTGTCTCAGGAGCACCGATGACTCCAGTGTTGTAACCAAATTGGAAAGAGCCTATTGAATCAATGGAGATGGCAAAGAGACCTTCTGTGTTTCCATGGCCCTAATTTAATTCTTTTCCAATCTTCAATAAATATCTAGGAGATCCCAGAGACACTTCTTCTAGCCAACAAAACCTTCAAAATGTCCTTCTTGGCAGTAAGTTTTTCTTCAGGTCCCCAGTAAGGCTCTACATCTCACCCTCACTCTCCTGATTCTACTTGTTCTTTAAATGAAGGGACAGGTGTGCCTGAGTGGCTCAGTTGGTTAAGTGTCTGACTCTTGATTTCGGCTCAGGTCATGATCTTGTGGTTTTTGAGTCCTGAGTCCCTGTGAGCCCTGGGATTCTCTGTTTCCCTCTCTCACTGCCCGCTCCCTGCTCGTGCTCCATCTTTCTCACTCTCAAAATAAATAAATAAACATTTTCAAATAAATAAATAAATAAATAAATAAATAAATAAATAAAGGGACAAACAACATGAAACAGTGTACAGCATGGTATTTTTTTAAATAAAGAGGGGCGCCTGGGTGGCGCAGTCGGTTAAGCGTCC